CTCTAATGAATGGCCACTCAATGCGATCGCAAACCCAATTCCGATCGGGAGAGTTGTGCGCTGTTTGTGAGAACGCCATGTCTTCTAAGGGTCAGCCGACCGGTGCCGGTGTTAAGTGTGATGAATGTAAACTACTCTTTCATAATAAGTGTATTCACTCGTCTCATCAAATCCCCTGTCGATCTAATCTGTCCTCTCATACGCCTCGCGGCAGCTCATCGTCTATAATGTTAGCGCCCGTCAGCAATGGTTAGTGCTTTTGATGCGATTTTTATGTTGTATATATAATTTGTATGTTTTGTGTGAACAGCGAACCCCTCGAGACCCCCGCGATCTAAGAACCGAAAGGGGGGTAAGAATTGGCAAAAGTTGTCGGCGAAGGAGAACTCGGGTTCAAACATGAACTCACAAGCAAACGATGGCCGAAGCGTTAGTCACGCCCTGTCGGTGAGCTCGTGACCTAGCCCAAGCCCTACCGAGCACTGGGCTTGCCGGCTTAAACAACTAGGTTCTCTATATAACTAATGGCTAACGCTGCTTAACGTTTATTACCACGCATTTATACTGAAGAAAGTGTACGAAATGGACGAAGAGAAGCGACGCTCCCATAAAGAGTCGACGGTTGATGTGGTGTTCAAACTGGCTCTCAAAGAGTTTCGCTCCAATTTAATCTCTACTTATTCGGTGGCCGCACAGGACGGACACCTTAAGCTCACCTACAAGAACCTCATCGACCACTTTGAACAGGTATTATTGAATGACATCTCTGTCCCAAATGGAAACTCATTTGTCATTTGATTCTCAGGTGATTCGAAATATTTGTCAGAAGGAAAACACTTGGAAATCATTCCCTGTAATAATGGGTGTCAACGCTTTCAGAGGATATTTGGATCAATTAAGACAAAAACAGATGGAATTGAGGGGAGAGAAGCACATAGAGAAGAGTAAGAGCGACACGTTTGTCATGTCGGGCGCTGACAACGCATACAAAGACAATCCCAAGTTGTCGGCGCACATATCAGTGGCCGACACGACTCCGGCCACCAAATCATCCAAAAAGCGTAAACGACAGAAAAAGTCGCGTAAAAACAATAACATTGACGGCGGAGAGGCCTATAAAATCTGTGGCCATAATTTCTTGTTATCGATGGCCAACATTCCGACGGTGTGTGAGGTGTGCTCATCGCTCATGTGGCTGATGGAGCGCATATGGGTTTGTCGTCTCTGCAAAATGGCCTGTCATAAGAAGTGCGCCACTAAACTGACTGCCATGTGTCGCATGCATGAGTTCAACTATAAGATGCCGGACGCCATAGCGGCCAGGGATGCGATGGCCAAGTGTTTGTACGGCGCTCTCTTTGACTGGATTGTAATGCAAGTAAATCACGCACTCCTCGCCAAAAAGGACTTTCGTGATCACAAAGGTTTGCGCCTATTATTAACATATTGCTAATTATGTTATGTTGTACATTACATTTACTGTATCATTTACTAATTTTTCATTACAATTGCCATTTATTAGAGCTAGTTAATTAGTGATCTCTCCATTATATATGTTTAGTTTGCAACAGATTATTGTATATTTATGCTTATTGTTCAATTAGTATCAAATCAAGCAATTTATATAAATAATATTGAGCAAAGAGATGTGGGGTTGAGGTGGGAATGCAACACAACTATTATTGCAACCATTGCTAACCCATTACCTATTTATAATGGTTTCTAAGGCTTACTTCCTATTTGTAGTTTGAATATGTATTTTATGAGACAATATTTGTTTAATTAATTTTTTGCACCGAATATATAAATAGGAAGTGAAATGACATTTTCAATAAAATGATTTTTTGTCTTTTATTTTTTAAATATATTTATAAACATCGGATAAAAAGAATTTCTTATTTATTTGCATTTCTTATCAAATATTGTCGAATTGAACTGTACAGTTGTATAAGTTGTTTACCCTGATTATTTATAAATTATAAATTATAATATACGGGGCACTAATCACATCACATATACTTTATATAATTAATTACAGTAAGATCTAATAAAACTTGATAGTATGACATATTCTTTAAACACAAATACTTAAGGACCAAAATTGTAACCATTGTCTACCATTATTTGGAAGTACACTGCATATTATAGACTATAATTTATAGTCCAATATACAGTAATACCAAATGATCAAGATCAATACAGACGGTTGTTAATTTTTACTGTTCTAATATTTACTGTTGTTGTTTGTGAAGACCCTTTATATTTAGATTTCGGTTATACTTAATAAGTATGTTGATTGTATAATACAAGTATTGATGTTATAGTGTGATAACAACTGACAATAATAATTGAATGTATAATTATTGATCACTTCCTACATGTATTTACTTACAAACACATATCATCTCATACTTTATCAATTGTACAGTACATACAGTATAGTTAACTTCTCAATAGCTTCTCAAATATACAGAATGCAGAATTCTCAAATGTACGCCAAAATATGCAAACAATAAGTATTTATACTATATTTATATAATTTTGTGGTTTTAATTTCCGTAAAAATATTTCTGTTTTGTATAAAATATTTTTAACACTTATTTAATTTCATCAATTTAGAATTTTAGTTACAATATTGTACAATTATTATCTAATTTAGTTACATTATTGAAATGCTCAATAGAAACGCTTGTTTCTGACTAGTATTTATACTTTAATATATTAATAATATAACGATAGTGTATTATTGACTAACATACACTTATTGACTGTCCAGTAATGTAGCCCCAAAACCTATATAAACCTAAGCTCCTGAAACCGCTGGTTTTGTTAAAGCTCGTCAAAACGTAGTTGATACGCTTACTCGTAGAAGTATTTTATTTCAACCAACATGTGTTCAAATATGAACAGGAAGAGTACATTCGCGAGTCCATCAATTGGCGCAACATTGACTTCATTGACAACATAGACTGTCTGACACTAATCGAGGGGCGACCACACGGGCTGTTGTACCTGTTGGACGATCAATGTAACTTTCCCGGCGCTAACAACGAGACCGTACTTCAAAAGTTTGTCAACCATCACAATTCGAATGTGCTGTTCGAAGTGCCCCCCTGTAGACCCGCCCCCGCCTTCACAATCAAACACTACGCGGGAAAAGTCAAGTATCAGATCCGCGACTTTCGCGAGAAAAACATGGATCTCATGCGTCCGGACATCGTATCGGTGCTCAAAGTGTCACAATTAGCCTTTGTTAGGGAACTGGTGGGCGCCGACCCACTCGCTATATTCCGGTGGCAAATCCTCAAAGCCTTCTTTCGCGCCTATTTTATATTTAGTAAATTGCGTGAAGTTTCTAAATTGAAACGGGGTAAGTCACCACATTCTATACCACATTTGATGCATTTTAGCATAGCTTCAATATACACTACATTTAATTAATAGTCCATTTATGGCATTCTTTTGTGCCAATTCTTAACTAGCGATAAATTAATACATATTTTAGTTTTAAATTAATATTTAATTTTATAGTCTTTTAAAAATAGTATTTGATTTAAACTTAATGCTATAAATGCTAAAATTTAATGTATATTTTAAGTGTTTTAAAACTGTATTTATTGCTTGAAAAGGTCTGAACGATAACTACATTATAAATGAGATATCGAGCGCTCGTAGGAGTCGGACGTCATTTGATGCCAAAAAAATCTTGCAGTAAGTCTTGAATATATGTCTTAAAGATTGCTATTAAATCACAAGAAATAAATCACTTCTTAACAAATGATTATTGAATTTTTAAACGTTAATTATAATTACACAATCTATTTAAATATTAAAACCTTAAAATTTATAGAAATTTATTAATTATCAAAAATATTATTACAAATTATATTGAATTTATTCTTTATTCGAGTGTTTTATATAACTATTAAAAATATTATCGAGCATAGTGTGTATATACCGGTAATAGAAATATTAGGATTTTACTACACTATTGAAATATGCATTATGATTAATGAGGCATAATTATATGTATTGTAAATCCAGTATATTGATATAATATAGAATCCCATATTGAATGTATAATAGAAGTGTAGAATTTGAATGGTTTGTTGCTTATATAGCGAGATTTTGCATGTAAATGCTAGTATTGTTTGCTAATAACGGAATGTTATACTAATGATTGAATGGTCTGTACGCGTGTGACAAACAGTGGGACGGATGGCACCAATAATGTGATGACCGGCAACTCCACGCCTGACGCGCCCCCCGTATCCCGCATATCGAAAGCTATACTTAGCAAACAGGCCCTCTTTGGGGCCGCATCGACACCGCAGTGCATTCGGGGATCGCTTATTAAAACTGCCTCATCGTTGTGTCCAATGCATGGCAACCAAATGTCTTTTTGCTCTAACGACGCCAGAGTCCTGTCCAAAGCCAATCAAATACTAATGTATGTCCAAAAACACTCCTATCCATCACTTATCCCTTTATAGCTTATACTAAATATTTGCTCATTGACTCTCATTGACGCTCAACTTTTGGAATAGTTTTTTTATCAATTGTTTATACGATTACTACTATTGTAATATCAATTGTTGAATTTGTCTGTGCAACACATCTCTCTTGAAACGGTAATGCATTTATTTTACTGCTTTACAATGCGTTACAGCTATGAAAGCATTAAGAGATGTGTTTCTTGCAGACAAATTGAGTTAATCTTTATATTTGTAACCAACATTTATTTTAATATGTGATGAATTAATACCTAAATGCTTGAATACTTATATTAGGAAACATAAGACAATAGCCCAACAAAAACTTCAAATAAAGAGCAAAGGCATTGAGAAGTCAATAAACAATTTAAAAACATTGAAACAATTAATGGCTCCTATGGGTGGCGTTACCGGAAGTCATCAGCAATCATATCACTCTAAAGGCCATAACACTCATCACAATACGCTGTCGAGGGCCGGACGCAAACAGACTCCTACTGTCACCCATCAGTTCCAGCTGTCTTTGCAACAACTTATGGAAGCCCTAAACCTGGCCAACCCTTTCTTCGTGCGATGCATTAAATCCAATGGCGATAAAATAGCCAATCATTTCGATGACGTACTCGTGCTTTTGCAGCTCCGGTACACCGGGATGTTGGAGACCGTCCGCATACGACAGTCGGGCTATAGTGTGCGCTTGAGTTACGATGAATTCATACAACACTATCGCATATTATTGCCTAAAGGCTTACTCTCCAGTCAGTCCGATGTGAAACAGTTCTTAGCGCTGATGAACTTAAACCGAGATAACTATCAAATCGGCAGGAGTTTCTATAAATACTCTCTTAGGCTCTTTAATTGTGAGCTACTTTCCGATGTGGTCCTCTATGAGTCTGCATAACAATGAGAAGTCGCTACCCATGCTTCAACAGTAAATAATGATGAAATACCAAAACATGAAATGAGTTTTTGTTATTTTCAAATTATTTGTTATAATTATTAATTATATAAATTTACTTCATATGTATTACAAATTAATGTATTTGACTGTTAGGTGAGGACATGGCTGTTGAGGAAGCGCTTTAAGGAGATGAGAGGCGCAGCCATTATAATCCAATGCCATACGAGGCGGTGGATGGCTCAACAACGGCTCAGTCGACTGAAACGGATCGCCACTTACGAGAATTGGGCCGCAAATTGCATACAAAAGAATTGGCGTTCATTTAAACAGAAACAATGGTTTGAAAGATTAAGACAATCGACTATTGCTTTTCAATCCCACTGTCGAGGCTTCTTATTACGAGCCCGACTCTCAGCCGCCAACACTGCCACCAGTAAAGTGCCCATCAGTGCCACCACTTCTGCCTCTCCGATCACCACCGACTCCCGGTTTGTTAACAGACATGTTAGCGAAGTCAAAGGGTCACTAAGAGTTTATGGCTAGCTAAGAGTTAGTATGGTAAGTCTGCTTCGGAAGGAAAGTTTCCCTAGAAGTGTCCATACCGATTGTGACTTTGCTATGAGATTTATTCAATACTCAAATGAATTTATGATAACATTTATCATATGTATTGTAAAACATTTACAATCTGTTATGTGTTTAAATACAAAGGAGGAGTTATTGGACTCAATACCCATTAGAAGCAATACTCAGTCATCATCGCTGCCACACCTCGATGTCTACAGGCGTCCAAAACCCCATCAAACGGTATTCACTGAACAAATTCGTGGCAAAGAGTCCGAAGACTCGTCCGGTATTCACGAAGATATTGACGATTCAGATGCAGAGTTGCCACCCGTTGGCGCTGATCGACTGCCACCGGTTCTGCGGCACAAACGCTTGTCCACCGATCGGCCGCTACAGACATTTGAAGTGGACGACGACGACGACGAGTCGGAACCTTTTGGTGATAATTATGAACGCGAATTGGAAGACAAATCACGACTCGATAGGCGTCGAAACCGTGTGGTCAGGAAGTTGTCCCTTAAGAAGTCTAAATCAAGCAAATCAGTGACTGACGATCGCACGCCTGCATCACATGATATGAGTCCAACAAAACACGTGGACAACAGCGGCGGTCTTAGAGATCATCGACAGGTATTAATCTTCAATCAAATGATTAATTATATGCCGTTTCTGGCCATAGGTTTTACTCAATTTATTATTTAATAGTTAACCAAAATAGCCAGCGATTCATCTGCTCTGATGTCAACACAGAGGCAAAGATTACAGCACTTCGTTGAGCCCTTAGAGCCCATGAATGTTGTGAAAGAGGCGAAACTATCCAAAACAGGTGTATCGTCGCACATGCCATCATCGCAAACACCTCTATCCGCGCCCTTACAAGTGAAGCCCTCATCACTGGGCGATAGTGTCGGTGCCCTTCAAAAGGCAAAGAAGACGCTCAAGACTTTTATCGGCAAAAGTTCTTCTGATAAGTCGGCCAAAAGTCAACTCAAACCACAAGCCATGCAAACGACCCTCTGTTACGATTCGGGACCCGAAGAAGTGTCACTGTTGTGCTCGTCTAGTCAACGATCGGCGCTCATTAAGCGTCCGTCCAAGTCATTTGAACCGATGGCACCGCCGCCTCCACCACAGCGTGACTTCTCTCTAATGAATGGCCACTCAATGCGATCGCAAACCCAATTCCGATCGGGAGAGTTGTGCGCTGTTTGTGAGAACGCCATGTCTTCTAAGGGTCAGCCGACCGGTGCCGGTGTTAAGTGTGATGAATGTAACAGTAATTGTTTGGAAGCACTTGTGTCTAAATGTAGTGATAATAACGCTTTGAATGCATTAAATATCAATGGATTATCGCCTCTACATCTGTGTGTCGAATGTGGACACGAATCCGCTCACGACATGATTAAAGTGATCGCCAATTCTGGGGCCGATATTAGTAAGACATTACATTTTACATTCATTATTATATCACTAAATTTATAAATAATTTAATTGAAATTAAACCAATGGTTGTTTGTTTTGGTGGTCGTTATCTGTGTTGTTAATAACAAGAAGTGATGTTCTTAATTGATTAATTGAAATATTTATTTTAACTTAAATATGATTTTATGTATTGCCTGTTATAGATGTGAGGGACGGACTGTCAGGTCGAACACCTTTAATGTATTGCTTAATGAAAAACCAAAAACATAAAAATTCATTAAAGAACACATTATTATCATTAAATGCAAGCATTTCTCAAACGGATTATTCGGGTTCTAAAGCTATTGATATAATGGAAGAAAACGATATATGAGATCAACAACAAAATATTTATAATACATACTGTATATTAAAGTAATCACTTATCTAATAAAGATCAATTAAATCAATAGATTTTAAAATAAATAAACAATATATAAGAATATAATTCAAAATAAAATTAATTTAATAAAAATAAATAATAAATTCAATCAAATATATTCTTATCACAAATAGAAAAATAATAAAATTACAATTAAAAAGAAAAATTTTCCACTTAAAACAATTCATTGATTAAGAAAAAGTCGGAAATTCAATGATGTTATATATTATAAAATATTCAATCATTTAATGATTAGTCAAATGTAATACTGTTTACAAGTCTTTATAAATATTTGGCAAAAGTTTTGATGTTTAAAAATTAAGTACAATTCTAGCTATTTATCGAAATATTATCATAAATTTCAAGTCTATTATATATTAACAAAATTGTCTAAAAAAGTGTTAACACAGAGAAGATTTAAATTTTGTAAAATGTTTTAAATGTTATTAAAATTTACGCTAATTGTTGTTCATACACTAATCACTAATCAACGTGTGATCATTGGCACAATCCATAAGATAATACAAAATTTAAACATTAAAAAAGTGTGTTTTATGTAAAAACTGCTTTTAAGAGAAAATCTGTTAATAAACTTTTGAGCAAAACATTGTCAAAAAAGCACTGAAATCAGTATATAATAGTTTGAGCCGTTTTTGGGTTTTTACAAATATCAAAGAATTATTGGAGAAATGAGTTATTGTTTTGTTTGTTTAAAATTCATCTAACATTTGGACTAAATATAGTTATTTATAAACCATTATAACTGTGTGTCTCCGGAATCACATAACTTATGAGATTCTATGTAATCGATGAGACTTCGGAAGAGAAAGTCAAACTGTGCCTGAAATGCAATTATAGATACTATTATTCAAAACGAAAGTTCATTATAAAGAGGCACACAATTCACTTACAATAGTTTGAAGCATACAATGCCTTTGGGAGCGAATGTATCGCACAGTTTGAAAGACATCCACTCTTTCTTCGCATTTCATTTGTTGGATAAGCGAAGCGAATGCGACGAAGACTGAGGACCGGTCGCCACCACCGCTACAGTGGACCACAATTGGCGAAGTGGTCAGAGTGTTGTTGGCCAGAGTGGCCTCTATTAACTCATGCAATGAGATCGTAGACTCGGGAACGACACCACTCTTCCACGAAAGGAACTGAAACTGTGTTACTCTTTGACAATCATTTGTCTGTAAATTAAACAAAACAATTAGTGAATGAAAAATATAGTTAAAGAGAAGTGTTAATACCTTTTTGTGGATCACATCGAAAGCCCTTTTAACATAAAATTGAGTCACATTTTCGGCCACAAACTTAACTCTAACAAACTCGCAGTCAAACTCTTCTGTCGGCCAATAACAATGACATTTGCTCTGTCCGTCTCCGAGCTCTGCTAACATCACAAGAGTGGACACATTTTGCTCCGATATTGTCCACCAAAACTCATTCACCGTGTGTTCCATCGGGTCTTGAGTCACAATAAAAGACAACGAATGGTCGTAACCCTTCATATATAATCAAGTTATCAATTAATTCATTTAAACAATTCAATCATCATTTTAAAAACTATTTAATACCCGAACAAAAGATGCATTTATATAATAGGAATTATCTTTTGATGGCAACGGAGTTAATATGACTCGATTTACATCATCTAAAATATTGATTAATTCAATTAAAATTCAAAAATTAAGTCTCTCTCTCTCTCTCTCTCTCTCTCTCTCTCTCTCTCGTTCACTTACATGGAATAATAAAGTCATATCTATTTTTATTCTTATTTATATCCATTGATCCGACGACACAAGACTTTTGATCTTCAATGACTTCATTGAGTCTCTGTTAAAGAATTAAACAATTGATTAGTTTTGAAGGAAAGAAGTGCATAAATATGCTTCAAAATTACTTCAAACTCAGCCATAATGCCATTACTATTGGCATCAATTTTGTCCTTAAGCTGTCTGTAGTGATCCCTTAAGTGGCAAATTTCAATTTCCGTGTCTCCAAACTCGATGTACTCCATGACCGCCCGGTAGACAAATATATACTGTTTGACAGATTGGACCAAATGGTTCCTCTGGTGTCGCAGATGTGACACACATTCAAATATATTAATGTGAGTCGAATTCTCATTGATTTGTGTCATCAATGAATCGATTGCTATGAAAGTGCCGGTTCTGCCCACACCTGCCGAACAGTGCACTACAATGGGTCCCATATCTGGACAGTAGTGTTCATTCACGCGCTTAATGAACCTGAGGAGCCAAGAGGGCTGTTCTGGTGCGAGAAAGTCTCTCCACATCACAAAATGAAAGTGTAAAATGTCGTGACTTTCACTTCCGTCCACTTTCTCCAGAATTAATCGACGAATTATATAATCAGAGAATTTGCGGATACTTTTCACAGAAACTTTAAACATATTTGATATCTCTTTGGGCTGTTCTTCACTCCAGTATTGGCTACATTTGATTCTTCCCTGTTCTTCAATGCCAGTCAACATAACAATTACTCTATAATTGAATTGATTCATTATTGTATGGACCAAACGTAAATATGATCAAGTATAAGTAATCAATGAGTTTTACCTGCATTTCTGTTCGTAAATCATTCGCCAAAAATCATTCACAGTTTTCTTTTAAAGAAAGCGAAACAAAAAAGTTAATATCGATTTACAATTAAATGCCAAACCAAAGGATATAATGATTGTTTAGTTACAAACTAAAGTAAATGGTGACAATTGAATACCTGAGTGGGTCCCTGAGCGCAGATAAATACTTTGCGTCGTTTATATCCCTCAACAAAGTCTGCGTTTATATAATCAGATCCAGGGATGCCTTCAATTGTGTTCAATATAACCCGAGTTTGATCGTAGCTTTTAATGTCTGGATATCGATTTTTGGACATGTTTTCAGGCGTTATCCCTCAACAAAGTCTGCGTTTATATAATCAGATCCAGGGATGCCTTCAATTGTGTTCAATATAACCCGAGTTTGATCGTAGCTTTTAATGTCTGGATATCGATTTTTGGACATGTTTTCAGGCGAATCGCTTGCATTAGTGGTGCGATCGGAAAATTTTTCGGGAAGGGTTTCAAATTCTGTTAATATAGTAAATGTTTTAATGAAAATTTACTAAAACTGCTGTAAATAAATATATTTAAATAAAATTTATTCATTTAATGAATACCCGCTTGAAATAAGAAATCGCTGTTTTGGTGGCGTTCTTGAAATATAACCGGAAGATTATGAATAGGAATAGGAGTTGAAACCCATTTATGAATTGAATTAATGTTCATATTATTAGGGATGTGTCCGTTTCGATGACCATTAACTGTTCGCCTTATAAGTGCTGTTAAGCCTAACCTCTCGTCATCAGATCCAGAAGTTTCGCTCGCTTTTCGTTTAAGAAAACACAAAACCGATGAAAGAAGTACTAACACTAAGAAGAGTCCGCAAATTGTTCCGAAGAGTATTCCGTTCGCCGATTCAGACAGCGATGAGAATATAGAAAATGTGTTATCATTGATGGGAGCCATCAAACTGAGAGATGAAGTCTCGATTGGATCAAAATAATCGCTTTGTTTAGTCATAAGAGTATTATTTGGTCCCAAAACTAATAGTTCTACAAAACCCGTGTAATTAGTGTTTGGAAGGAGTGTTCCGTCAAATGTGAGCGTATCTGAAGATAATGAGAGCGCCGATTCATTCTGGGAGTCCATTCTTCTGGGCGATCGGTTGATCTGATCCGGATTGCAATGATTGGAATATCCGTCTCCAATGACTACATTATTAACTAAATTATCGGAATTGAATTCTTCGGCGACATAAGCGCCGATTGAGTCTTGACTTTCGGACAAAGAGTGGACGTAATTGTGGGCCAAACTGTATGTCGTTATATTGAGTTGATTGGGATTAGACGGTAAAGCATTGGTCGCATTGGTATGGTTTGGGAGACGGATTATAATCACTTTATAACACAGTATGACTCCATTCCTCTCCGACACTCGCGGCACATAAACTCGCAAAAGACGACTAGTTTTGTCTAAATTGTCATCAATTCTCACTTTTTCTAGTTTTATATTAGAAGGCATTTGAAAAGGAATTGTGGCCGACGTCTGACACATAGTGGATGTGGTTATGTGTGACAAGAGTCCACATCCAGACTTGTTTACAGTGCAAACCCTCACCGAATAGTTAGTGTTGGGCTTAAGGATTAAATTTAATTTGGTTTCATTGCCCGTCAATTCAAATGCTTCCTTAAACTGATCGATCACTTTCTTGTTATTGGCGTTCCTATAGGTAGAGAAGGCCTCGAAAGTGACATTATATCCGACAACAACTCCTCTCGGATTTTCAGGCGATTCCCAAAGAACTGTACCATTATTTACATTCTTCTCGTTATCATAAATACACTTAACTCTAACATTTCGCGGCGGATCTGAGTGTCCGTCAGCCGTAACCGCATCTAAAGTGTCGGACCATTCACTGCAACCGATGACAGAACAGGCCTTGACTTCAAAGTTATAGTGAGAGCCGGCTATTAATGATGGAAACATAATCATATAATTACTGCGAGTCTGAACGGCACCAGAACTGACGTCCAGAGTCTGATTAGAAATGAGAATATCTCTTGAATCACGTAAAGTCATGGAGTAATGTGTGATTTGGGCGCCGTTGTCGTGCATCGGGCGCTTCCACCCAATCAGTAAAGTCTCATTAGTTTTGGCAAAAATATGGACTTCAGTGATCTTTGAGGGCACATCTGATTGCATGGTTATGTTCATTGGCTCCCAATCCGATCGACCCATTGAATTGATTGCCGCCAATCGGAAACCATAGGTCGCACCGGGAGTTAGATCTGTGACAGTGAATGATTGCGAACCATTCACTCCTATGTTCTCCTCTTTGGTCAACCAAATGGAGTCAACAATACTATAGTTATTGAATTGCATTTCAATCCTATCGACGGGTGCGTTGCCCTCATAGGCGACCCTCCAGTAGACAACCGCCGATCGGGGGCTCAAAGACTCGATTCTATCGAATTGTATTTCAGGCGTTTCGAAGACAACTAAATTGATTTGAGATTCACTTGTATTGTAACGATTGCTTGCTTTGCAAACATAGGACCCATTGTCCGACCGCTTGAGTGTATCGATACTGAGAATACTTTGTTGTGAGAATTCGTCGCTTTCACTGTTATCGACGACAACCCTTCCGTCCACTTCGATGGCTATCGACTCATTTGCCACCACTTTCTCCCATTTAATGCTCGCCTTTGGATACCCTTTCACTTTGCAAACTAATTTGGCGTTTGCCTCCAAATTTTGTCCTAATATCCCATTTTCTGGTATTGTGTTTGTTTGAAGCGAAGCTAAACGTATGTAATAATTATAACATTAAAATTAATTTATAATCAACTGTTTATATTTATCTCTAATT